CATATTTTTAATTAAGTTCACATTAAAACATGATGCATAAACACATTTTTGTCTATTAAAATCGTTGGATTGATTAGCGCATCCACATTCGTACCTTAGATGAATCCACGATTCCACAGCGGGCATCTTGAACTCGAATATTTTCTTGTGATCTCCAGGCCATTTTCCTGCACGAAGAAAAAGTGAAATAATAGAAATTCTAATAGTAATATACGAGGTCAATCATTGGAAGAAAACAAACAACAGATATACTGGAGTGTATGGTATCGCCAACTAAGAAATTTGAGCAAACGATGTCACTGACTGATGTGGGCGACTCTGATATTGTAACCAAAAACCTGGCGCTATTAAAATGCACTGGGATCAAGTTTTATTATCAAGAATGAGGAATAGTTCAATTACCTCTGGTGCTGATGAGTGGAGACTTTCAAGTCTTCAACTTCAACTACGAGTGTGAATAGAACTGTTACTGTACAATTGATCCTGCGTAATTGAATGATGATCAGCAACGAACGATGGGTTACGAGGTTGTTAAAACGGACGTACAACAGATTCGAAGACAACTTTTCGAATGCCACTAATAATAATTCTCTGATCGCAGGGCAAAGCTTTTTTACACCTTAAATGAAATTGAGAACATCTTCTAAATACGTTTGTTATGAAATCACAGAATTAATTGTACTGACAATATATATTTTTTATCTTTTAAAACGAAATTATGTTGTTTCAGGTATTGAGGTTCCTATTCTTGTTGCTGACAGATACGTAGATATGAATACAGAAAAGTATAAATATACAACTCCCACAGTTCACTAATACTGTTATTTAGTACAGTAATCAACCGTTGTGTGTTTTATGCGAAAAAATAATGTTTGCTGGAAATAACGCGAAATAATGATATGGTATTTTCAATACAGAAAATAGAGGGAACATATTATTGCGGCCGAGTTCGATTATTCGTCAGAGAATACGGTTCAGCTTCCCAAACTAGAAAAGTAGTTGAAGAGAATTTGTGAATGGAAGTAATGTAAGCTGTTGAAGACTGCTCAGTTTATTTGAATGCTTAATTCATTCATGCAAATATTTCAAACCTCAAAAAGCTTTTTCTCAATTGGGTATTTCCCGACCATCTCGATCAGGTTTTCATCATGCCTGACCCATTCATCAAATGCTGAGATGTCTTCATTTTGCTTCTGGACATAAAAACACCTTCACTATGCACACGTTTTAGCTCTCTTTTTGCTCCTTGTGGTAGGAGTGTAATCAGGGGTTTGGGTTCCAACTTTGTTAGCAATACTAAAAATCAAATGTGTGGTTCGTTCACTTAGAATAAATAAGTTAACTCTAACCGGGAAATGAAAATGTCTAGTTTTCACGTAGAAAATCTCGTTTGTTAGTTCTGCTACTAATCACACAACTACGTATAGTACGGGTTGGAAAGTGATTCTGAATCGTGCGCTGAATATACTTTTCCTCCATACGGCACATACATTTCTTACGGTCCTTTGAAGAAAATAAATTATATCAGACCTCTGTGACTGAGTCCTTTTTTCAAAGCCATATCTTGATACCATGACACATTTTGGAACGAAATGTGTAAAAGAGAGTAGGCATTTGTTGATTCTTTATCAGAATGGGCAGAAATATAATATTACTTAAATTGTCAAAAAAAATACACATTCACAACAATACTCGAAGTAAGCCATTAGTAATAAAGTTGGCAATCATCCCAGAAACATAATAATCAAATTTTAAATCAACTTTTTATGAAATGTGAACATCAAAAACTAGTTAGATTGAAACTAAATAAATTAAATATTAAATAGGATATTAATCGTAACAAACTGTCACAGTCATTCTTAAAAACTTTACCAGGAAAATGACAAATTAAATGACAGTTCGTAAAGATTCTCTAGTATGCAAGTTGACTCCAGATTATAAACTTACTAGTCTTCGTGTTGAATTTGTTTTTCCATTAAATGGGAGACAAAGATGAAACAATTTAGTAAAAAAAGTTGTAATCATGATCTCGGCCAGAATATTCTACAGAAAAATATCATCTTCAGATTTGTATTCAACAAACCTTCTCGACCTTATCTTGCCTGCCTTAAGGGGAAGCATTCTCTGCTTTTGTACTCAGAAAATATTTTTTCATTCGTCTGATTCGCAGAAACGTTTCTGCGCACTAACTACAACCTTGGTTACTCCTTTCTTCTCGTTGAAGCCGTGACACGGGACAGTGACAGAGATACAATGCGCATGATGAAATGTGTAGTCTTTTAGTACAACCTCAGCTTCGCCGATCCGGTGGCCGAGATCGCTAAGGCAGTAGTGCCGTAGCGAACTCGGACCGAATGATCGCGGGTTCGAGTCCCGCCTCGGGCATGGTTGTATTGTGTTTCGTCCTTTCACCCCCTATCATCATCATTATCGTGTCAACCCTCAGCTTCGAGATAATTTTAGTATCTGGCTACATTCAAAATTTCCATTAATATTGTTAATCAAACCGGTGCCTGAAGCTCATGGGCTGAAGTCGGATACGATGCGCAAAGGGTATCAACTGATGTCACTGCAGTACCCCTGACTGGGAGGTCATTAGTTCGAGTCCCGACGGTGGCAGACAGTCAACACAGTATATATATATATATATATATATATATATATATATATATATATATATATATATATATATAGCTAGGTCGAGTTGAGTCACTGTCTAGAGGAGAATTCTGGCGGCCGGCAGCTCCGATCGGTAGTTTTCTATGGTTTCTCCGATCAACACCAGGCGGATGCCGGAGCAGTACCTCGTCCTATCCCCAACTTCCACTTACATGCACCAAGCTTCCTCACATGCCGGGAGATCGGTCGGGAACTTAGTGCCATTCCCGGCTAGGGCGGTTCCCCGCAGGCGAGATATACCTTGCTGAGGTAAACCCCACTATCCGACAGGTATGTCCGATCATATCATCTAGGGTGAAAAAATCACCGCCAGCATCCTAGGAAAAACATGCACTGCGCTTACAGAACTTGGCCGTTCAGAACCCTGGAATTACCAATCACTAAACCCTTGTCTTCCCACCACGATTTGTCCAATATCTATCTAGGTAAATAATTATTTCGCTGCCGCGCGGAGGGAACCGGCGCAGAAAGCCCAACGCGCCAGCGCGCAGCGATGCGGCGCCGCGATAACGCCGCGCGTGATTCGCAGAACTTTGTCTCGCCCTAATGGAAGACGCGCAGCGCGGCGCGGCGCGGCGCGGCCGATAAATCTGCTGCCAGCGGCGCAGCTGAGGAGGCGCGTCGCGCGGGCGAAAGGCCGAGGAGGCGGACGCGCAGGGAAATCCGCCAACGGATTGGTTCTTCGTCAAGGGGCTGCGAAAAGGTCGAGCCCGTCGGAGGGAGCTCACTTCCAACGCTCGCGCCGCCCGCTGTGGCAACACCCTTGACCGGGGTGCCCTAGGGTTGGATTCATTGATTGTTAAGTGATTCCTTGCGCGTCAACTGCAGAGGTCATTAGTCCCGTAAGTGTAGTGGATGTTTCATCGCGGGGAAGTAGAGGCGACCTTCCTTTGAGATCTGGCACCGATCTACCGTCTGCTAACAGGGTTTTCCCCCAACCAGGTATCCCCTACCAGCGGGACACCGCCCCAGCCGGGATACGTTCTAAGCACCCGAACGGTCTCCCGACATGTGTGGTGGTGAAGTACATGTAAATGTAAGTGTGTGTAAGTAAGGGGAAGGAAATGTCGCACGCGGTTCGTGGCCCGTTTGGTAGGATACTTCTCCGGTATTCACCTGGTGTTGATCGGAGAAACCACGCAGAACTACTGATAAGAGCAGCAGGCCGCTAGAATTCTCCTGAAGTAGTGACTGAATTCATCGAAGCTATCTCGCTAGTGTCAAAAATCCTGCCACCGTTGGGTCTCGACCCAATGTATATCGGTCAGAGGCATTGCAACGACATCAGTTGAAGCCCCGATCCACCTCTCCTGGTTCTAAGGGTTCAAGATTTGGCTGTAGCGGTTTTTCGACACAATCTACATAGTTCGATCGAATTAAATCACACCCTGGCGAACAATTTTAATGCGCCGATTGCTCTGATTGCTAGTTTTCCCTGATCTAAGATCATTAACAGGTGAATGCTGGAGGTGTACCTGGGCAAACGGACGAAGTGACGCAAAAGATTATTCCTCCCTAAACTGTCCTACTATCTCCTTACTCCTTACTCCTGACGTATGTACTTACACTAGTAACCACAACACTACTACACAAATCAGGAGACTAGGCTGGAACATAGCACTTGTTTCGGCTGTCGTAGTGCCGGCTCCTGCTGGGGGAAGTACTTGGAGAAGGAAAAATCCGCGAGTCGACATGAAGTAGGTCAGCGCCCAACATTACGCATACGAGAAAGGATCCCGAGTCATATCATTTGCTACACTTACGTGTCTAAATGCTAAAAGTGCTTGGTTCGCGTGAAAAAACGACTTTTTGCGGTGTTCCTCCAGCTGGAAACCAATAGTTCGTAGGAAGACTTTTAGACACTTTTTTGTATTTTCGTTTGTTTGAAAACCCATCGAAACCTTTCCCCCTAAATTGTGTATTGAAATAGATGGATTATACTCAAGAGTAAAAAATATTTAGTTGTAAACATCTTTTGAACGTACAATAAAATTACAGAATTACAGTCCCTAGTATTGCAAATCGCATTTTCCCCCTCATCTACCCAATAATTTGCAAGAACTTTCATTCTCTGGATACAGAGCTGTTTTTTCAGTGTGGTTTCGGTAATCCTGAAACACGCCTCTTCAACGGTTGTTTGTTTTTCTCGCCGGAACTGAAACTCTAATGTGGATAGTACCAGTCCCCATCAGGAGCAGATTTAAAGCTGTAGAACATTCATACCGCAACAAGCGTCGATCTTTCAAGGCATGGAGACTGTACAGGAGTAGATTGTGGCGAAAAGAAAAGCTGTCTGCAAAGCATTCTAAAACGCACTTAACATGGGTACGATAGGTGAGGTAAGGGCCTACTCTAATATTTTCACTTGCGGTGGGGATGTCATTATCTGCCTGATGAAAAATTATTTGAAAAGTTTAAAGAAAGAAACCCTGAACGGAGAATACCACCAAAGGAGGTCTTACAAATTTGTCCGAACTTTTTATTGGTCCTTTAACTTGTATCACTTTTTAATAATCTTCTTTCTTTTCATATTTTAATGAAAACGGTGAGACTGATGTGATTAGCATTTTATTTTTATTTATTTTATACACTTTTTATAGAAGATCGCTAATTTAACTCCTAATATAATCCAAGACTTTAGATGAAGAAATGAAACTCATAACAGTACTCTTAAGAAAATATATCACTATTCCATGATAGAGAGCAATCTGCAAACAACTATCGCTTATATTCTTAGAATTTAAAGACCATAGAGTCGATCATAAGAGGCGAATGTCTTGTTTAACATTATCAGAGAGAAATTACATCAGTAGCTGTGAAGCTTGATAAGAATCTACGGCGTCATTTAACCAACTATTTGGACCCTGTCAAATGAAAGAGTAAATATCTAAATGAAATGTTAAATACAATTTGATGTGATTCGTATGTTATCATAAATGAATGTCATTTTGGTAAAAGAATGCCTTGTGTGTAAGAAAACTTTAAACAAAACTTACAATCATTAAAAACTTGACGCTTTGTGTTTTTGAAAAGTGAATTGTATTTTTAATTACTATCAGTAAAGCCGTCTCAGAGAAGTTGTTTGTACATTTAGTTGCACCGAAAAATGTCAAATTTGCTGATACAGAATTCAAGAAAAAATATCGCCGTTGTCAATATAGTAATAAGTAATTATGTAAGAGTGGGATTTTCACGTCGTCATCCAATGATCAGGAACTGATATGATTAATGTCCGTTCTTCCCCCACACCTCCAAAAAAAGAGAGCGCGCACTAAAAACAGATCTGTGACAGCGCAGAAACGAAGAGATTACCTCAAAAAGCACGTCTGGAATTTCCGGCTGCTCACGGCGACCTCATCCTTTTTCCAGTTACATCGCGCACAGATAAAATTGCAGCCTCACCGTCGGGCGACCAACACAAAGCGAGAGCCTCCGTCGAGAGTCGATCCACTTGGGCTTCCGAGGATACGAGACGGGGCGGGGCTTGGCGGGGCGAGGCGGTGCGGG